GTTGATCATATAATTGATAGCTCACTACTGTGTATCAAATCTAACTGCACAAGAGGGTGTTTCAGAAACCAGCAGAGGTTGTTTTGAGTAGCTATTGGCAATTTTCAACCTTTTTAAATATGGGCTGAGGCCATGGTCTGAATTCCAAAAAGCACCTTCATAATGTATATAGTAGACATAAGTTCTTATACCTTACATAAAAAAAATTCTTGAGAGGATGGTGTTCAGAATAACTCCTGCTATGACACACCACACTAACTGCCTCCAGCCTCCTGTAATGCTGTCACCCACTGTTGCACCATGAGGAAGACATTAATGTGATTTCCAGACAAAAGCAACCTGCTGTGAAGCTGGAGGGCAAAATAATTCTATTGATTGCACAGATCACCCCAGTTGCCTGCTGACAGTTGCTGGTCCCTTGGGCTTGTGTTTGCTAGGAGCCCGAAACAGCCACATCACCAGGTCTGAAAGCATTTGTGGGTGTGGAAAGTAGACAGGAAGCTGCAGAAAATTGGCAGTCGGTGGTCCAGTTTTTGTGTGTGGATTGATGGGCCTGTGACTGCAGAAGGAGGTACCTAAAGCTGCTGGCATAAGCTGCCTTCACTAGATGCGCAAAGAGACGTACTTCGCTGTATAGTACAATCACATTTTGTGCACATACGCAGTTGAAAGCCACTGGTTGAAATTGCGCATGTTAAATGCAAGCAAGGCAGAGAGTTTAAATCAGTGCTTTCCAAACTCGACACATTAGTGTGTCAGCTGCAATGTGTAGGTGTGTTGCATGATTGCTCCCTGTGCTCCTCCCAGGGCTGGAAAGTGGTTAGTTTAACCTCTAACTTGCTAGTAAAACTAGATTATTGTGTCGCAAAATGATGCATATCTAAAAAGTTTGGAAAGCTCTGGTTTGAACACTGTTTTTGCACCAAGAGAACTTTGCACAAAAAGAGCATTTAAGTTCTGGGGCTCACTTGGGAAGCAGGGCCTTTGTTGCACACTGGGTCTCAGATGCTCCGAGATCTTTTGGGAACTTGGACAGCTCAATGAGATCTAGGGAGAGCATCCTGGGGTCATGGTGCATTGGCTCCAGAAGTCCTGGGAGGCCCTGGTTCCAAAGGTTTGAGTATGAATTCCTATGTAAGATGTGATCATGCCATACTGCTTTTGGTGCCTGCTAAACCAAAACAATTTTTAGACAAGCCTATGTTGATGCTTAGAAGATTAATGCAAGGGCTGATCCTTTCAGTCCCCTAATAAAATATTTAAGGGGGCTACCCCCCAAGTTGATGGGTTCGTGTCAAATGGTGTGTGCCTTGTGATCAATTATGCTGTGTGGGGCTTACCTGCCCTCCCCCTCAATATTTTATCCAAGCTGGCAGCCCTGGGTGTGAGCCTCCATACAACGTTAGAAACTGAGATATGAAAGCTAGGAGCTAAATGGCTCCTTAAAACTAGGTTATGGAATGTCTAAGTGCGCTTTTTTATAACAAGAATACAAAGCTGAAAATGAATGAAATGCAGTTAAAATATTACGTTCATTTTTCACAGGGTCTAGTCCTTCCCCTGCCTTCCCCCTAATATTCTTAAGAGGGTCTCTTCTCCAGTCTTCAGAGAGTAGCTGGAAGTGGGGAGGCAGAAAAAGGTCCTCCGTTCCTTCCACTCTGCAGTTTTAATCTGAAATCTTAGGTGCAGTGCTGCGCCCAGAGCTCAGAAACCTCTCACCCTAATGAAATTCCCTGTCACAAAATGCGCCTAGAACAATAGGAGTTTTGAACACTGCCTCCATATTGGACCCTGAAATTGTGTTTTCTCCCACACTTCATTTCAAGGAAACCAAACCTGGGTAAACACAGGAGCCCCTGGAGTTTCTCACCACTCAGAGACTAGGGTGGTGCCTAACAGTATGTTGAAGAGTGCCTTCTTTGTCCCAGTGCTGCAAAGCAGACCTTTCTCAATCTGAGTTCATCCAGATGTTTTGGGCTACAACCCACATAGATCCAAGCCAGTTCTGCCGTTTTATTGTGATGATTATTGTGTTAATGTTGAAAGTGGGATAGAGGGCTCCTGAAACAAATTAGAAAACATTGGAAGAAAGGTCATTTGTACCAAATGAATTCTGCCCAGCATAGATTTTTTCTGCTCCCATCTCATTTTGGATTGCCTTCATTAAAGATCTGTAATTTAAAGCATGCAATTTCCCTAGAGTTTATGGAATATAAGTTCCCTTTATTTTTCAGAGTATAAGGTCACGAGAGTATATGTCCATGAAATTCATCTATATATAAAAAAATAAAATAAAGGAAGATGGAGAGGAACTAATTTGGCTACATATTATGAAGCATTCCAGCCTTGACAACTATGGAGACTCATCCACACATTCCTTTTGCCCCACACTTTCTAGTCACAGGTATGTGCTTGAAAGCGCTGTGTCCGAGTGCTTTCCCCTTGCCCCCAGGGTTCCCTGGAAAACCCTCTCATAAAATGCTGAATCAAGACAAATGGCAATTCGGATTTTCTGCAGAATGCTGTTTGGTGGTAAAGAGTGTGTCTTTGTGGGGAAAGCACCAGGGCAAAATGAAAAGTGCTCAGACATGGAACTTGAAAGCTCAGACCTATGTATGCCTAGAAAAGTGGCACAAAGGGAAATCTGTATTGGATCCCAGGTTGTCCCGTTTTGTTGTTGTTTTTGTCCATCGCTCTGGCGTGAGTCAGCTGGCTCGACCCAGAACACCAGACTAAAAGACACTCGCTCTGGCATGAGTCAGCTGCCTTGCACCAGAGTGCTGGACTGGAAGACACACCCCTTTCAGTCTTGCACAGTACACCGGAACAAAAGGCATCCATTTTTTGGTCTTGGATATGTGCAAGAGCTTGGGGCCAAAAAAGAGGCACCTTGATTTTGGTCCCCAGGATGTTGGAGGGTATGAGATTAGGGCTGCAAGTTTATAACTAGCTTGACTGGTAAACTTTTAGCAGTTGTTTGGTGGGGTGCAGCTGAAGCAGGACCCTAGAGGATTATTATCCTTAGGCTTTTCATATAATCAGTTATTCATATAATCAGTTATCAGTAATCAATATATTCACATATGCTCACACATAATCAGGGCTTACAGTGATTTTTATAATCCATTTGAATAAAAAAAAAGCTTTTTCGCCTAGTCTGACAGCAAGCGGCTCGACCTTTCCCCCAGTGCTTTTTGCACCCTAGAGAAAGGGGAAGCTATAAATCAGAAGATGCTGGTACATCTCTCCCCCTCAGCTCCAGACTAATTCTGGACACGAAACAGGAAGGGCTGACCGCAATACCCCTACATGAATAGATGCATGGGGGAGTTAGCGCCAAGAGATCCCCTCCTAGCTGAAGTTTCGATTCCCTGTTCCATCAACTAGGGAAAAGGTCAGACTGTACTTTTACTGTACAGACAAAGAAAGCAGAAGTTGGAAGTTATACTCTGTGCGCCGTCAGGAGCCGACAGAATGCGCTTATTGGTGATTCGTTGCTGGTGTTCGTGACTGTCTCATGATCTGTGATGCTGTACTCAAGTATATAATCTCAGAACTTGAATGCTTTGGGGTCCCAGTCTTTTGGAAAGGATTCCAACTGGGTCCATTACTGCTCAGCAATAAAACCTCACCTTCTTTTTCTCCAATTTGCTGTGTCTGTCCATCCTTTGTCTCCATTAAGTGGGTACCATTTTAAATTTATTTGCAACACTCAAGCAAGTGGAGGGTTCCCATATTTGTTTGTTTGCTTGATAAAATATATACACTGCTTGGATGTAAAAGAAAACCTCAAAGCTGTTCACACACACAAAAGATAACACACCAAAACTATCAAAAGAAGAATTAACAACAATAATTTAAGACTTTCAAAAGGTTAAAACAATGGACTAAAACTAGATTAAAACTTGTATCAACTTTCTGAACTTCTGGGTAGGGTTGTGCAAACAAAAATCATTTTAGCAGGCGCTGAAAATATATCAATAGACAGGGAGTTTCAAAGGGTAGGTACTGCCACACTAAAAGGTTGAATTCTTACAAATGTGGAATGAGTTAATTTGAGCTCCTGTAACAATTTGCACCTTCTGCCAATTGAAGTGGCTGAGTGGGTGTGTCTGGGGTAAGGTAATCTCATAGGTAAACCTACTGAAAAGTCACCTGTGTTTGAATTCTGCTAATATGAAAGGATTTAAACTTAATCAATGAGCCAGCCTGTAAGAAAGTTGCTGCTCAGTCAATCAACTAAAAAAATTAACCTGCTGATCTCCTGAAAATACATGTCAGTTTCTGCAACATAGACTGTGGGAACTGCAGTCAGGCCAAAATCTTTTGACACCAAGGGTTGTACACTGCGGGGTAAAGAAAATTCCATCTCCAGAAAGTAATATCTCTTTTTCACAGCTGCACCATTAAAGCAGCAAAGCTGCTGGGTCTTTTACCCAATCTTTATCCTGAGAGCACCTTTAGAGGCGGCAAAATTCAGAGGTCACAGAATTCAGCTGGTTTGAAATATCACAAAAAAATTGTACACGCTGAACTGTTATTCACCCTGAATAAACCAATGATACTTTGACTAACAGCAGACCTGCTTAATAGCTTAAAAGGTACCATTCTGGTACTATTCAATTTTCAGTCTTCTAATGCTCAGCCAGTCACTCACTGTACTGACAGATTACTGTGAACATTTTAACCTCCACAAAGAGTATAGTTAATAAAAAGGAGTTGCATTTATTCAAATAATTTCGTTATCTGCCATGATATAATGGTTTGTCATAAAGGATAATACAATGGGGTGTCCTAAAGAATATTTAAATTTGACAGATCATTGGACTTGTTCAGCCCCTTTCACAGTTTATTGGGCAAAGCTAAACCCATTATTTGTTCTTGCCCATTTATCTCTCCATCAATTCAGGAGAGAGGGAGAAAATGCTAAATGTTCTTGGAATCAGTTTGGCTGTGAATCGTTGGAAGCTGTGCCCATTACCAAAGGATGATGGGGAACAGCCATAGTTAACTGGCAGCAACACCTGTCTTTTAAGCAGGAGGTCCTGGGTTCAATCCCTGATGGAATCTCCAGGTAGAGCTGGGAGAGACACCTGCCTGAAATCCTGGAAAGCGGCTGCCACTCCCTGAGAACAAGAAGATGGACCAATGGTCTGGGGCTTGCATAAGGCAGTTTCTCATAGTAAGGGGTCAGTCTAGGTGATAACTATTGGTCCCTTCCAAACCTGTGATCCTGTACCTGTGAGACTACAATGTATAAAAGGAAGCCTGCTAAATTGGCAAATCACTTCATTTGGTAAGGTAATGGCCTGGGCCAGGCATTTAAGTACTGTTATTTTCATATACTCAGAAGTTGCCATAGAGACAAATGGGTGGGCCTTTATGCACCGCACCTGGCTAGATGCCACATCACCTAGGATGGAGAATAACAGCCAAAAGGTTACAAGCACAGGATAGGGGGAGCCACAGCATTAGCACTCCAGCCAATCTGGTTTTTGCCATCAGGTTTCCAATAAAGCCCAAATCCCGAGTTTTGGGTCCAGCAAAGAGCAGGACACAACTCTGTGTCTCCAGCTTCCAGCATCAGTCAGAAACACACAAAAAACCCTGTGGCTCTTGTTCTCCTACCCTACAAGGCAATGTTGCTTCCAAGCAGGTATGGGGGGGGTTGCCCCCATTTGTCTCTATAGCAACAATACAACCTCATTCTAATTGGTTGTCTCTTACAGATTCAACCCTTAACTACGGTACACAGGATCATAGGTTTGAAAGGGACACTCAAGGATTTTACAGATTGACCAAACTGAACAAGTTGATTTCCCCCACCCTTGTTACAGTATTAAAGGCACAGGAGTTTTTTCCACCACTGGCCAGAAAATTTGCAACCCCCCTCACTATGTCGCTACATCCTTAGTTCAGCAAACCTCTATTTTCCCAATTATCTCCACTAATTTATGACCCCACTCCTTTCTGCTGTGCATTAATAGTCTTTCTTTGTTCTTGCAGAAAGAGGCATAACGGGGGCAGCTTGTCCAAAACACCCCCTGCCCTGTATCTTTCCTCCTTGATGAAATTCCCAGTCTGTGTGGCAGATATTCACAGTATATCTTTTCTTGTCAGGAGCTATCCCCTTTCATCAGCTACACATTTATTAGAAGAGAAAGCATAAAAAAGAACCTGGAAATGGTTTTTCAATGCAGTGATGGAGATGTGAGAAGGTGCTTCACGGTGGAGGATGGGATTCAGCATGATTAAAGAAATGTCTACAGAATTGTGTTAAGATGAATCTGCCATAGAAGAATATCATTATAAGCTCACCATTTCTCTAAGAAGTCAGAAATTACAAGGTCAGCATAGCAAGGCTTGGTTTCTTGTAGAAGAGAGAGAGAGAGAGAGCACACTTATTTATTTGTTGCATTTATATCCTACTTTTTCTTCAAAGGAGTTCAAGGTGACTTATATAAGAACATAAAAAAGCCTGCTGGATCAGGCAAGTGGCCCACATAGTCCAGCCCATGTAGTCTAGCCAGTCAGATGCCTCTTGCAGAAGTAGTCTAGCCAGTCAGATGCCTCTTGCAGGAGACTCACAAGCAGGACTCAAGCACAAGAACAACTCTCCCCTCCTGTGGTTTCCAACAACTGGTGTGGAGGATGATGGACTGGTATTAAGGCATCACTGCATCCAGTTGTGGACCCTGAGCATGGCCATCCTAGCAGTGACTGGCCCAAGGTCACCCTGTGAGCTTCATAGCTGAGTGGGGATTCAAACCCCTGTTCTCCCAGGTCACAGTCCAACACTCCAACCACTACACCACACAGGCTCTCACTTACAGTAATATTAGCTTTATTTGCAAGTATGCAAGTAAAGCATTGGCAAAGGCAAAGAGTCACTCTCAATTATTATGCTCATCATTGCTGCAAGCAGGCCATTCCACCCTAGTTGACAGCTGACAGTCAACATTCCATATGTACTCCCCATGCTCAGTATTCACTGATGTGTGCCTTGTTTTGTTTTACAATCTTCTTTTTTTAATGCACTTTGACCAACCTCACGGGTCCTCTCAGAATTATAATGCTTCCTTCTTCTTCTCAGTAGACCATTTTGACTTCAGTCTTACCTGTTCTTATCATCTGAATTGTCTGTTAAGAAAGAGCTGGTGTGGCTTTGTTGGTAAGATTATGCCCTACCCTGGAAACACATTTTTCAGAACAGCCATACAAGGCAGCATACCCTTCCCCCAAAAGAAAACCGCTCACAGCTCTCTCTGCCCCTTCCTACTGCCTTTTCCAAGTGCAAAAACAGTTATATTACTCACACTCTACCTTACAAGCACTCACCACAAATCTCCAGGACATTCATGATTGTTCAGGAGATTGAGAGGCTGCATTTAAAACTTGCTATCTTTAGAAATATTACTGTGGTGTGGTCTGATTTTACAATATTTACCAGTATGGGCATGGATATTTGCTATCACCAGTATAAAATAAGGTTTGGTTGACTTAGGCTCTCCTTTCCTAATCCCCCCTTCCACAACACATTCAAACGGGCATTGGATGTCAAGCAGCCAAAGACCTGGTTGAAGAACATTTTCTCCTAGTGCCTAAAGGCGCATAATGAAGGCGCCAGCCAAATCTCCCGGGGGAGAGCATTCCACAAATGGGGGGCCACTGCAGAAAAGGCCTGTTGTTGTGTTGCTACCTTCTTAACCTATCGTGAAGGAGGCACATGAAGAAGGGCCTCAGAGGATAATCTCACAGTCTGGGTCGGTTCATATGGAGAGAGGTGGTCCTTGAGGCATTGCAACAACATGATCTGCCTCATTGCATTGGCATGCTAAGCAATTTGTCTTTGAATACACTCATTTCCACAGCCCTGCGAAAGCCAGACTGTTCCACTTCTCTCCACTCCACCGCAAGCAATCTATTAATTGATTCAGTCAGTGGCTCTTTGTTTTGTTTTCTGTTTCCAGTTACTCCAGTGCAGGCAGATAAATATATTAAGTTCTGCAATGTTCCATCTGTGTGCACTCCAAAGGGTTGCTTTGTATTTTGGAAATGGCAAAGCTCTCCAGGGTTTAAATTACATTATGACTCAGGTGTGTAGATCTGGTTATAGATCAGATTATGGCACTTGTAGGCCAGGTTGCTCCGCTTAATTTGCGAACAAAGCCTTGAGAAAGATCTGATTTAAACTGTTGCTCATACTTGTTTAAATCTTCTGTTGGGTACTTTTCCATACCTGCATCCCCATTCCCCAAGAACAGCTCCAAGATAAGAATGGTGCTATGAGTTTGACTAATAGGCTAGATGCGAGATCCTTCTAATCCATGGATCCAGCAAGTGTGTTGAGGTGATAGCCTGGGTGGTGGGCCATTAAGAGACATTAAGAGAAGAGAAGAGAAGAGAAGAGAAGAGAGAAGAGAGAAGAAAAGAAAAGAAAAGAAAAGAAAAGAAAAGAAAAGAAAAGAAAAGAAAAGAAAAGAAAAGAAAAGAAAAGGGGCTCTTTGTGAGATGGCAAATGGGTGGGGGCCTTCCCCCAGCTTGTGGTTAGTTAGAAGGACGAAGCCAGAATATAGAGCTGAGTTGCAGTGATTTGGGCCAGAAGCAAATCAGCAAGCAGAGACAGAGAAGGAGAGCCATGCCAGACCTCTGCTTGAATCCAAGGCTGTGGCTATGGGAGAAACAAGACCCTTGGGGGTGTTAATGCTGTGAACCCCTCCATTGAAGGCTCAGATTGTATTTGCAGTATGCGTTTAAAAAACCCATATATCTTAAAGACTCCACAGTCTCTGCTGTGCCTCATTCCAAAAAAACAGAACAAAAAACAAAACAAAAAACGAACCCTGGGTAAGTGCCTGGAGCCCCTGGAATATTACACCATTCAGAGATTGTTATATAAACTAATTTGAGAAACATGCTTGTTTAGATCTTCAGAACTGGGACCAGTTGCAGCTGGAGTCCCACAAGAGGTAGTGATAGTGATCACCAAATCAGATGGCATTAGAATAGGATTAGACAGGCTCACAGAGGTCGAGGCCATCAATAGCTTCTGGTCACAAGGTCTGTGTTCTGCCTCTACAGTTCCTCTGAACACCAGGGAATCACAGGTTAGAAGAGGGCTGTTGCACTCAAGACCTGTTTGTGGGCTTCTCTTTGGGGCATCTGGTTGGCCACTGTGAGAACAGGATGCTGGACTAGATGGGCCATTGGTCTGATCCAGCAGGGTTCCTCTGATGTTCTCCACCACCCCTTCAGAAAAGTAAAAATATGTTCATTGGATTCAGTATCAAACCAAAGGCAAGCAAGATGCACAACTAGACCCTTCCACACCCTCTTCTCCCATTTTCTAGCGCAAGCTCTTACTTCTGGTTCAGTAAGTGGTGTATTCATCCTGTTTCCTCTCATGAAATACTGTGTTTTGATGCGTTTCCCACCCCAAACCAGCTTTGATCTGCATTAAGCAGAACGACCACACTGAATTTGAAGCCAGTAAAGTGAGCCCAGCCCTTGTCCCTTAAAGGCTGAGGGGAGTGGGGAGGGAAAGAAAGCTTGATTTCTAAAAGTAAGAGGAACATGCTTGATGCCATGTGTTCACACTTCATATTGTCAAGCTTACTGTTAAGCTTAAAATGTCTTCTGTAAAAAAAAGTAATGTGTTGTTGTAAACAAAAAGCTGCCCTTTTCCCTTATGGGGTATCCAAGAGCCCATATAGAGTGCTTACATAGGTTCCCTATTGATAGGAGAAAATAACAGAGGCCAACCAGAGAATACTGAGAAGCAAAGCAGCTAGTAAGCCTGATCTTTATTGATCTGTTGCAACAGGGTGCTCCCCTCACACGCAGGAAAGGAGGAGGAACCCAGAACAAAAGTGTGCCTGCCCTTATATAGACATTTTAAATTCCCTGCCCTGGAGCTCAAGACCACCCATCCATATATCATACATACATCACAGAAGGGGTGTAATCCAAGACCACCACCCCCCAGATACATCATACCTACATCACAGAAAAGGCGGTCTACAGCAGAAATCGGAGTGTGTTGTTTATCTCGTCTGACAGGTTTACCTGTT